ATGAATGAATGAATCAACGAATTGATCATTTGGTGAGTCTTTCCTTTCAAACCAAACCATTGATTATTTGTTTCTCTCGTCTCTTAMAATAAAAAAATAATTTTATCTATAAATATATTTCAATACAATTTGAAACAAACGAAGCGTTTTGTTATTTCTAATAACACTCGTATTAATCAAATATACTATTGTTTTCTCTGATAAGAATTTGATGGTCAAAGAAATTCTTTATTAACTCTATTAATAATAATAATATTATTATTTACTATTTTTTTCTCTCTCTCTCTATCTTTGTATCTTTTTTTTAAATAAGCTATTAATAATTTTTCTAACATTAAATACAGAATTTATAATATATTACTTAATAAATTTTATATATTATATCTAAAAATAAACAAATATATTGAAAAGAATATATTATATTGAATGATAAATTTAACTGTTAAGTCACTATACAATTGATGATATAATACTTAATTGAAAGATCCATAAGACACAAAATAATTATTTGTTATAAATTAAGTATCATTGTAAGTGTAACCATAAATTTAGCCTAAAGTCAATTTAAATAATTATATTATGTTTTGCAGTTTATTTTTTATATTAAATTTTCAATTATAAAAAATAATTTTTTCTTTCTAATTTATGGTACAGTATGTGTATGTGTACATAATTTAATTTTAAATTGTTACCATTATTATTAATACTAAATTGCTGTATTTGCATACTTTTAAAATTTACATTTCCTATAATAAATATAAAATTAATAAATATTATTTTTAAAGTGTATTCATTGAAAATTCGTTAAAATTTGTCTATTTTCTATATATATTTAATTATTTTTAATATTTTGAGTTAAAAATAATTAATGTTTTTACAAATGAATAAGTTATTTATTAAATATTTGTCATTTTTATCTAACTTTTTGTTTAATAAAATGATATTTTATAATAAACTATATCTCATAATGTTAATTTTCATACTGTATATAGTATATACTGTAGTAAAAGTTGACTAAATATATGAACTCTCATTAACTTAATTTAATATATTATTTATGATTATTACATTTAATAAACACTTGTATTTACTAAATTACCTATAATTAACATTATGGGAATTGTATTATAAATATATTTATTAGAAGTTATATAATAACAAACAGTATATACAAACAGTATATAATACTTTTCATCAAAAATAATAGACATAATATTAATGGTTTAATATTATACTGTATTACTATTATATAAATAAAATACATAACATAAAAAAATTACAAATATCTTAAAATAATAAACGTTTTGGTTTACAGTAAATCTTACAACTTTTATAAATATATATTTTAATAATAAAGACTTACTATATTTTTGTAAATCCTGTGAAAATAAGTTTTCAAAATATTTACTGATAAAAGTTATTGTAATAAATTTACACTTTATTTTATAAATATATTTATTTTTAGTCCAACAAAAGTTATTAAATCAATTTTTATATTTAAGTTTTATTCGCTGATAAAAACAAAATTAAGTATTATATTAGCACTTTATATTCAATTAAAATTGTAGAATAAATAGCATCAACAATAAGAAAAAGTTTGTAATATACCTGTATATACAATATATATATATATAACAATCTTTATTTATTTATTTTTTGCAAAATTGTTGTTTTTCATCAAAATATATTTGATTGACAATAATATTCAACACCAAAATAATAACACAGTATTTATGATTGTATTTCATAAAGATATTGATGTTTTTCAGTTGTATATCATATGAACATTAGTTGGACAACACATGTGAATATTTAGAGTAAAGTATTGAAAGTTATTGTCAGACTTGATGTCAGAGTCAGTGCTTTATTTGATGTTCAGAAGGGATCAGACCATCGACTCTATACTTACTTTTCAATTCAGTTGCTGTTATACTACAGTGTTATTGATTTCTCACATAATATCTAAAGAGTTGAGTTCCGGGTATGACATCTATTACTAACAATTTAAGATATTTATATTTTTTCATCAAAAAAATATATAAATAATTTATTTAAAAAATCAATTTTAAATATTTAATAAAATACATTTTTAAAAATGACATTATACTCTATTAGACAATTTATAATTAATCTTATTATTCAATGAAATTAAATATTCAAAATTCTTTGCAATTAATAAAATAGATAAAATATATTAATAAAATAGAATTAATTAAACAAATTTACAATATGTTATATATTATATATTAATTTTATAATTTAGAAAATTTTAAAATCTAAAATTTTAATCTTTATTTTATATTTCATAGTTATTTAGTAATAACAGAAAAATCTTAGAGCACTTATTCATTCATTCATTCATTTATTATTATTGCTACTATTGACACAATAAAACAGTTTTATAAATAGTATTAAATGATATCTATTTATGCATATCAATTGATTTATTATAATGCATATATTTTATCTACAAAAAAATATATAATTAAATTGTAACATTTGATTAAAATAATTGACTTACTAATAATATATATTTAATTTGTCTTAATTAATCTTATTTTGAGTTTCAATTAATTGTGAGTTTTAAGCAATAAATAGACAATAACTAATAATTTTATCTATAGCTAACTAATGTCTATTACCTGCTCTCCTAAAACTAGAATTGGCATAAAAGAGAAATTTCTGGAATGTTTCTAAAAGAAATTTCTGTCTTCGATAACATATTAATTTTGTTCTTTCGATATCTTAAAACAATTTATTATAACTATATTTTTATTTAACAAAATTTTATTATTAGAATTTAAATTAATATTCAAAGTAAAAAATAATTCATTTAATTGCATTAAAGTAAATATAATTCAATTATAAATAAAATTTCACAAAAACTATAATAATTTTATAAATAAAAATCCCATTAATATAGTAGTGAGTGGTATATATTATGTATCAATACTACTGTATAATATTTAAAATAAATCTATTATAATAAAATTAAATAAACCGTGTTTTTTGAAAATTTCTAAAAGTAAATATTTATAATTAATAAGAATAAAATGTAAAATTTAGTATTACATAAAATTAAATTTTTGATAAATATTAGATGTCATAAATAATTAATTATCATAAAATTTGTCCAAATGTTTAACCAATTTGTCTGTTTTTCAGTTTTAAATCCCAGTTTTTCTGCCAATTGATGAACACTGAGAGATCCTTCGGGAATATTTCCATATGATTTAGTATTAGTTCCCAATAGGATGTCTGGTAGCTGTTCTGGTCTTTTTTGCCGACAATATACACATATTTAGTTTACCTCGAAATATATATGGCCTCTAAAATTATGGGCATCTTATAGACCAGTGATGAATATACTAATCCCGGGTAATAATCGGTTAGTACTGACATGTGTATGAGTGTATGAATTTCAATGAATCAATTTGCAGTATCAGTGAATTCTTTACACTGTTATATCTATAGTCTATTAACAGTCTTAGACCTAAATATTGTTTTTAAAAATCAAATTAATTATAATAATAGTGAAAAATACTAAATCTACAAACCTTTTTCGTTCACAATTTTTGTCAATATATTCAAACTAATATACTAAGAATTGATGAACCGTTGTAACCCATACCTTGATTTTTGGCGACACTTAACTTTATCAATAATATGAAACCTTTTTCATTTAATTTAATTAAATCAAATCATCATATCATTGATTGATTGTCAATAACTTAATTTTTCTTTATTAATATATTATCCATTAAACATAAAAGTATATAAATTTGAATAACTTTAAACACCGGTATAAGTTGTTTGTGAAAATTTTAAAATTACTAAAAGCTTTAATATAAAGCTGTGTTATATAAAAGATTTACACAAAAATAATAAAATAACAGTAATAGTTGAGTATATAAGCGTTAAAACTATGATAAATGTCTAAATTATTAAACATTAATTGTATGAATATTTAGTTCAAATAAAATGAGTGAATGTGTGTCCACTCTTTGGATAAGTGTTTTGTTGAATACATTAAATGGTACACAAAGTGGAAGAAACAGAAAAGCTTGAGAACTGTTATATTGAAGGCTTTACATCAAAATATAAGTTTTATTTTGGTCTTTAAAAAACTCTACAGAGATTCTGCTCTGATATTACTAAAACATTTTGCAATCCATTAGTGAATATATTCCTAAAAATTCCGTACAATTGTTTTAAATTCTAGTTTTGTATTCGCCATCCGTTTTCATTCACAACAAGTATTTTATCGATTTTTTTTTGTTTTATTTTCAGTTATTTTTAAAGTCGATTCTGTGACCAACAGATGGTAGAAACAAGGCTTTTGACAAAATTATTGACATAAATCTTATCCAAAAAATTGTCAATTGATCGACAATTTCATCTCACAATCCAATAATTATCGAAATCGATTTTGTGTTTATTCTGTATTTATTATAGTAATAATTAATTTTAAATTTATTATCATAAAAATGTGTTCACAATTAATGGTTAAAACTGGTATTACTATAATGTTATTAATATGATTAACCATGAGATCTCAATTGTCAATGACATTCCCTGAAATGTCTCAGACCTCTATAGGGGCGTAATCTGTGGTAAACTTTGTATCGGCAAATACACACCACTCGGATCCTTATAATTGTTGTTTATTAATGTCTCAGTTGGCACTTAAAACCTCGGGGCGTAACAATATTTCTTAATTTTACCAAAAAATAGAATTATTTATTGTAGAGTAGATTTGAAAAATAAAATAAATTACTGTATAAAAAACACGGAGAATATATGTCATCAATAAATTGGTGTTAAAAATAGATTTGTAATAAAATTTTCAACTTTTCTAATGTTAAAAATGATTTAAATTCAAATCTATGATTTAATTTATATGTGCAAAATGATAAATTTGTGCAAAATATAAATACATTCAATTTTTAGATTTATTTTTATCATCAATTTCCTATTGAAAAAAAACATTTCAGTATATTGTAAAACAAACAAAAGATAATGTTGTTATTGGTTATATATTTTAAAAATAAAGTTATTAATTATATGATTGGTATGAATTGGTAGATGTGTTATCATCGGTGAGATTAATGTTATTGACGACACCTTTACTATGATTATCACTACTATCTAATGTTGGTTCAAAATTTGGTGAATTGTTTGTCAAATTGTTGTTATTTTGATGAACACATGAATTTTGTTGAATTTTATTTGACTCATATCTACTCAACTTTTCTTTTGCTTCCTTTAGTTGTTGTTGTAAATAATAAATAGTGTTTTGCATTCCCTCCACATCTTCGTCTAATTCAAGCAAAAACTCATCCATTTCTATAAATAAAAATCATATAAACATCTCTTATATATTAAACAAACAAATTATCTCATGTCTAACCCGATTGACTCTTCTTGAGCTCTTCAGAGAAATTTCTCTGAAGTGAGAGTTCGCCTTCAAGTTTAGCAATACGTCCCGATTCTATCATTTTACCCAACTCTTCATTTTCCTGATACAAAAGACGACACTTTGACATCAATCGCTTACCAGTTGTACTATCGATATAATCCAAGTTTTTAATAAATCAAAGTGTAATCATAAACATGTTGTCAATACCTGTCTGGAGTAAACTTCCAGGCATTCAATTCATTCTGCATTTCGTCAACTTTTGCTCGCGAAGAGTCCACTTCTTTCTTCATTTTTGCAAACATTAGGTTAACTGCAGGATCTAAGAGTGTACTCTGCAATTGCTCTTTGGATGGCACCTGAGATTGCTTTAGTTCTTGGATCTGATTCTGCAATAAAACATTACAAATACGTTAAATAATATTTTGAATGAATTAAACAAAAAATCAATTATCACTTGATATACCAAATATTCTTGCATTTCTTGCTCTTTTGTAGTCAATCTCATAACTAATACATTTTCTCGTCGATTAGCTTCCAGTTGTTGATGTTTAAGCCTTTCTTCCGATTCTCTCAATGATATTAAATCACTTTTATCTCTATTTAATTGTCTTAATTGATACTCAATGTAATCAATATATAGTTTTTGTTGATTCCAATGATGTCTGAATTCATGTGATGTCAATGACATAATTGTCTGCTCATCCAAATCAACACGTCTTAAGTGGGAAACATTATTGTCATTGCTTTCAGTATTTAAACATATGTTATATAAATTATTATCTGATTTCTGGTCACTCAAGAGATCACTACTAGATCTCCTGTCTGTCCTAAGAGACGACTCATCGGGCGATAAAATATGTGATTGTTTTGCCTTATTATGGCCACCGAAACTATCTTCCGAGTCGTTTAACTCATTATAGTTTACGCAATGTCGCTCTTTGGCATCAGTTTGTGGTGATGTCGATGCAGACACATGTGATGAGTTCAATGAATTGATGAGACAATGAGGAGACAAGTGGTTGTTGTTGTCGTTACTGTCATTGCAGTCTTCCGTATGGTTAACATGCAGTTCATCCACGTTTAGCGTTGAATCTAACTCTTGGTCACCGATGTTATCATCACTTCTTGTCCGACATTCAGTCGATAACAAATCAGAAGTCATTACAAAGGACTCAGTCATCAAATCGTTGGATCAATCGGTCAACAAGTGTCCACTTAATTGATATTTGCGGCCAAATGGTTGTCCAACACTCAAGAAATACAAATCACTGAAAACACTGACCAATGGTCTCAACAATCAATCAAATGATTAACTAATGAACACATAATTCAAACAAATTTTATAAATATTTGTTTAAAATGTTAGAAATGTTTTTGTTTTCAAAACTCCATATTTATTGCAATCAATTGGAGCACACATTCATTGCATATACACTACAGTACTATACATACACTCAAACATTAAGGGCTTAACTCATTCATAATATTTGACACAACATTGTATTGCAATACCCATTGACAGTACAATACAATTATTGTATATAATTTAGGCCCTAATTATCGTTAGGATTGCAAACAATTGTTGTCACATAAGTAACGACACAAATGTCACTGTTTTCACGTCATTAACAGTTTCTTCACTATCGACCACTTCTTTGGTCTCAAAGATCTTTTGATAATTTAATTAATTGAAGACAAGTGTCGATAAAATGTGTCTGTCATTGGAAAGACCTATTAAAAGATGTGTCGACGACATCAATACAAGTGATGGCAAACACATCCATCCATTGGTTTCTATCAAACATTTGTTCAGATTTTGAACTCAAGAGTCGAGTCTTAAAGTTTAGACATAACTTGTGGATCATTGTATCAATTGTTTAACAGATCTAATATCTTATTATAAATAAATATTAAAACTATCGTAAGTTAACAAACATATTATTATTATTAAATTAAATACAATTAAGTCAAACATATAAAGTACTAACGATTTGACACAACTGTTTGGTGGCGTTAGTGTCGAGTCATTGAAAGATCACTTTGTTATCAATTGGTCAACAATTTCGGTGATAACCATGTCTTTGGTTAACCACTTAAGATTCTTGCCATTCAAATGGTAAGCATATATGGAGTGCTGTAATACTAAACAAAACTAATGATTGAATTGTTTGTCAGCGCACCACTGATGACCAAATTGTCATCGATGGTCACAGTCGGTACTCGAAACAAACATACTTTGCCTGATCTGCCCTACGATTACAATGCATTGGAACCGGTCATCAGCGCTGAGATTATGCAATTGCATCACCAGAAGCATCATCAGACATATGTCAATAACTTGAATGTTGCCGAAGAAAAACTACACGAAGCTATTGCTAAGAGTTTGTCATTATTTTTATTTATCGCTAATTATTGACACTTAGAGTAATTGATTTATATTTATAGATGACATATCAGCACAGATAGCTCTTGAACCTGTTCTTAGGTTTAATGGCGGCGGACATATAAATCATACCATATTCTGGAACAACTTGTCGCCCAAATGCGGCGGTGAACCCGAAGGCGATCTTTTGAATGAAATTAAAAGTTCTTTTCAGTCGTTTGAATCATTCAAGAATCAGATGAGTGCGGCGGCTACTGCTGTCCAGGGCTCGGGTTGGGCGTGGCTCGGGTACTGTCCAAAGTCAAACAAGTTACGAATCGCCGCCTGTCCTAATCAGGACCCGTTGTTGGCTACCACTGGTTTGGTACCACTGTTTGGTATTGATGTTTGGGAACACGCATACTATTTGCAGTACAAGAATGTCAGACCTGATTATGTAAAGGCCATCTGGAATGTCGCCAATTGGAAGGACATCGAGGAACGGCTTCGCGCCGCTAAAGCTCTTTAAATAAGTGATTATTTTTTCTCAATTAATGATTATTTTCCTAAAGTGACATAAAATCTCAATAATAATAACTATTATTAAAGTCGATTCAATGATAAATTTACAATACGGTAATTCAATTAACAAATTAGTATCAATTTTTATCGATATTGTCCTCAAATTTATTGTAATGTTTATGATTATTAAATTAGCAATTATTAAAATCAGAATTTAATTCCAATTAATAAAATGTTTAATTTAAGTTTTACCAATTTATTTAGGGTACAGTTAAATCGTGTTTTTCCCCATATGAAAATATRTAAGTCATGGGGAATAATGCGAGTTTTGTATCATATGAATACTTTAGTGTTTGACTTAATTTCCCCGTTTTTATATATTTTCAAGATTTCCCACCCCTTGTATCTGGACATCTCTAGTTGTTCCAAACCCTTTGAATATGTTATCTTTTATAATAGCCATTTATAATATGTAAAAATAATTTAATAGATTACTGTTAATAATCGGTTATTACAGTTCCCAATTCCCCCATTTTTTGCTTTTCCCCACATCCTCGTATAATTTACCTTCTGTAATAAAAATGTAAGTTTTTACGTTATGAAAATGTCCTTTCACATTTTTTTAATTTTCATATGGGGAAAAACACAGAAATACGGTAACATTGATTTGTTAGATAAACAATGAAATTATTGTATTGTCATAAATTATATTACAGAGTATTGAGTTCATAAACATTTGCAGATAATTCAATTTGAGTTATGTTTAGTCAAATCAAACACATGATATACTTGCTTATGGCTTATCATTAATAAATAAAATATTAAATTAATAATTTTTTTATACATTTTTATTGAATTTAGAAAGGATTTAAAAACAATATTATGTTTGAAATAAATTATTGTGAAATACAGTAATATACGGCAGAAATACTGTAGTAAATCATAAAACTATAATTATTTTCTTTAATTATGTGGTAAAACCGGAACAATGTATTATTATTATAATACGGTAATGGTTTATAATATATTAAATATTAATTTTATAAATAAAAATAGGATAGTTATCAAAATTAGTTATTTAAAAAGATTGTTAAAATGATAAATCAAAAACATATTATTAGTCTCTTGAGCGATGTTTTATTATATGTTTATACAGTATCTATTGAGTACAGTATTATAATCAGTCATTTTATTACTACATCAATGGTTAAAATGATTTTTTAAAATATAAGTTATCACAAATTAATTAAAATATATTGTATTTGTTGTTATTATACAAACCTACAGTATATATTAGTTCATAATAAAGTGACAATCAATAGGAGAAATTGCATTTTAAATAATGTTAAGACTATATTTGAGAATAAATTAAATTTAGAAGTTTATGTTATTTTTGATCACTTTGTTAGTGTTATTGTTATTAATAAATAAATATATATTTTTTAATTTGTCGTGCAATACATCAAACAATATGTATGTAAACGGAAAATAAGCCATTCATGCGATCGGTTCATACATCGGGCCATACATTCATTTGGCTGTAAAAATGAGATAAACTTTTTAGTTATGAGAGACAATCGTTAATGTTTTTTAATATATTTTTTAAAATTATTTCATTATATAAATAAATAATTATAAACATTACTAATATATAAATCAAACAAATATTAGAAAAGGCACTGAAACTAAATATGCTATTCATGTCTACAATCAGATTATCCCTCATTATCATCGCTCTTATCTTCTTCAATGCCTTCACTGTCTTCATCAATGTCTTTATTATCTACAGAACTATTATTTCTATCATTATTTTCGTTATCATTAGTATTATTATCATTATTTGTATCAATGTCAGTATTATCATTATCATTGTCATCATCTGAGTCACTCTTGAGCTGAATCACAGACCGATTTTCCTCTGTTTTCTTAGCCTTACTGATAAGCATTTCATTCAAATCAATTTTCTTGCCCTTTATCTCAAATATCCCGTCGGCGGGAATATCTATGACTTTCCCGTCTAAAGTAAGTCGTTCCTCAACAACAGTTACTTCATCTGTCAGTTCACTGATCACATCGTCTCCATTGTCCTCATCAAGTGTTTGTCCATTTTCATCATTAGGTCTAATCATATCATTATTCATACCTTTATCTGAATCGGAAACGTCTCCATTCTCGATAGTGATGTCTTCTTCAAGATTCAAAAAATTGAAAACAGTGTCGTCATCACTGGCCGTTGAGAAGTCTTCATAATCCTTCATATATAAGACAAATAGCAAACCATTTAGTTATCAAATAAATAGATGACAAACAAATGATAGCGTACTCCACAATATTGATCTTCATTGAAGAACTGTGGCGGAAGTGCTATCGGATTATTGTTTCTTTTTTTGCAGACAGTCTTCATGAGTTCCTTTTCCTCTTCATGTCCCGGTTCGGTGATATCTATCACTTCATACTTGATTTTATGTGAATCCAATAACATCTGTGCTCTTTGTTGGTGTTTTTTAATCTGTATTTCACCACAATTTCAATCAAAAAATGTCATCAATTGGTATCAAATATTATAAGACATTCAAATGACAGTTAGTTTACCTCTTTTGAGGCAGAAATGCCTGATATAAGCACTTTGATGACCATTTCGTGGCGTCAATCGACACAACACTTGTGTTAGTGAATTGGATCAAATAATGGATCAAATAATGGATCAAATAATGGATCAATTGTTTTATTGACAGTAAATGTGTTTAATTGGTTTTAACACAAAAATTAATAACATTTATAGACAACGCCTGAGTTATTGCCATCAAAACAACACATCAGTCATAACAACAAACACAACACTCTCTCTCTCTCTCTCTTCACTACCACTTATGCCCTCTTCAGGTGCTCTTATCTAATCGTTGCTGATGTGTGTGACAACAGATTACAGACAGAGATCACCTCACAGACAGACAAATGGCAAGTGTATCGGCAATTGGTCTCAATTGGGTCCATATCTTAGAGAAAGAGTTTGATGTATCTTTTGTCGACACCGACACGTGTTTGGCCAACGCTTTTGCTGTCGTGTCAGACACTGAAGAGACGGTCAACGGATCGCAATTCAATGAGCTTTTGGTCAACATATGCGACGCCAGACAACATCTCACAGCACTCAGTGGTGTCTTCACTCAATTGATTCACAAGACTATCACTATTGCTAATAATAATCACAATTTAGAGGTATTTATCAATTTTTCTTAAATTTTGACATATCTTATGACTTTTAAAGCAATTAAGTTTAGCACAAGAGATGACAATTTAAGACATAATAATTTATTAAACATTTGTTATCACAATTAATACAAAATTAATAAGTTTTTTAGTGATAATGACATATAACTTATAGACATTGAATGCAATGATAATATAAATATGATTATCATATTATGAGATGAATTCAATGAGTTGATGGCAAGTCTTCATCATTAGTGACCAAAGTTTCGCTTTCATTGGAATTGATTATACTTTCATATCTTTGACAAATACCAATCAATTGACTTTTATTAAGAAAGCATTCTTCATCTGATGAATCTCTTATAGATGTCTTAGAATTATTCAATTGAATCCCTTCTCTTAATTCTTTAATCAATTTATCACTTAAAGCTGTCATTTTAGTCTTTAATTGATTTAATGATTGATTGATCTCTAGTGTCACTCCATTTAGTGATTCTTTAACAGATGACACGTCTAAACTGGATTTGTTTCTAATCTCAAGAAGCATATCATCTAAAATATCATAGAGTTGTTCCTCTTCTTCTTGTATTCGACTACACGAAGATATAAATGAGTTTTGGGATATCATTAGTGCATTAAAAGAGTCGTCAATAGTTGTTGACAAGTGATATAGTTTTTGTTCCAACGGTTCGCGAATATCGGAAAAATCGGGTATTTTTATTTGAGGACCAATTAACTCCTGAAGTCGATTGAATTCTTGATGCATAAGTGAATGCGTTTTGTTTGCCGTATYGATAGCTTCWCGTAAATAGTTTTCCGATGATTGCGATGACCGCCACATCTCTTGAATTATATTTATGATTTTACGGGAAAAATAGTCGACATTGACATCCAATTGTGTCAATTTCTGGTCGACGCCTAACTCTTTCAGTTGTTGTAGAGTTGATAATATGTTAACATAATTATCCCTTTCATTGGTTTCATTGACATCACATTTATTGTTACATTTTGTAAACAACTCTTCATTGATTTGATTTCCATATCTTTGGTTAGATTGACTGCTATTCTAATACAAGAACTTAATTGATATCAATTAAAATGCAAAACGATTTGTTTGTATTGATACCTGAATTTGGTTTGTAATTGTTGTCAATCTTGCGATAACATTGTTTTGATGTTGTCGTTGATCTTTGACAGTATCTACCAATTTGTTAACTGATTCAAAACCATAGGTAACCATCTCTTTGATGTTAGTGTTGGCATCCAATGAATGTTTGACCAGATTTTCAATGTTCATAATATGTGACTTAACGTGTGATTCAAAAACGGTATGTCTTTCTTCATATTTGACGACTTTTTCTAACACTTGATTGCTATTAGTTTGCATTAATTTTTCTTCTGAATCCAATTTTTCTATAATTTGGTTAATTTTTGGCTCCAGTTTTAGTTCAAATTTRTACTTTAAAAGGTAATACAATTTAAAGTTAATTTGGGTTTTATTATATATAACAACTGTATATATAAATTAATATAATATACCTTAAAGTTATTAAAGTTGTCATTTAAATCATTAATTTTTCGCGTTATTGTCTCTGTTTTAAACTCTGTTTTTCTATCATTTAAATTTAATATCTCTTCAATTTTAGCAAACTTTGAGTCCAATGAGTTYTCCAGACGCAAGAACTTGTTTTCAATTGAGACAATTCTTTGAGTTAACTGATCCAATGTRTAGTCAATTCGTGTCAATTTATAGGTATTGTCGTTTGTCTGTAACTGTTGAAGCCGTTGATCTATAGACTCTAAGGTGTCATAAATTGATTTAGAAGTCATGGTTTGCTGTCCATTGCTTATGCTATTAGTATCTGAACTTTGAGAGGTCTGTACTGTGGACTCTAATGATAAAAACAATTTAATTTATTTTAAATATATTTTATTATAATTATGCAAAGTTTTATATCAAACCTTTTTGGGATTTTGAGACAACCGATGCTTTAGTCCACTTGTTTGTCATTAATACTAAAACTATTAACAAAATATATAAATTATTCATTTGAAACATTATTTATCATAATTTTTAATGTCATCTTAGGAAACAACAAGAAATATTAGTTCACATCATTATTATCTGTCATTATCTGCTAATAATGACAACTAATAATTTTTGTATAAACGCTTGAACTTTATATAAAAATAAATTTACACTAATTGAATGTTTTCAATATTTATAATAATTATATATATATATATATATATATTACTMTATAGATAATTGAAATTTGTCATTTAAACTTATGCTTTGCTTAATGTCAACAAATTTATCATAAAAATGTAATCTTTTTAACAAATTTTCTGATAAATAGAATTTATATATTATTATATCAATGTCCAAAATTTATTAAATTATTTATAAAATTAATTAATAATTTATTTTTGTTTATAAATTATTAATAGAAAGAGTTACAAGAATTAAAACAGGAATTATATGAAGCAAAAGCTGCAAATAATATAAATTTAGAAAATATTAAACCCATTGAAAATCAACAGAAAGATAAATACAAATCACAATCCAATCTCTCAAATGGTTTAGATTATTGTCAAAGAAATTCATTTGAAATATTAAGAACAAGTGATCCGTTGAAAGACAACGAAACTTTCAAAGTTAAGTCTAAACAATTGGATATCAAGACCGAGGAATGTCAACAATTAAGGTATTTTTAGTCATTAATAAATGAGATTTTTATTTAAAATTTGGTGTATTTTAGGAAAGAAAATCAATCACTTAGACGTCAAACTCTTGAGCTTCAAAGTGAGTTATTTGGTTCTCGTTTAGCGGCAAAGTATTTAGACAAAGAGTTAGCCGGAAGGATACAACAAATTCAACTGTTAAGCCGTGAAGCGAGAGATGCCGAACACGAGAGGCTATGGAACCAATTGGAGGCCGAAATACATCTGCACCGGCATAAGACTGTGATCCGAGCCTGTCGGGCCAACACTATTGATGGCTGTCCGCTACCATTACCTCCCGAACACAATAATGATGTCATTAAAAAGAGACAGGGAGTCGGTATTTATCGATACGTGACAATTGATAAGGAGTCCAATGAAGGAATTGGTCTTTCTATTACTGTAAATATCAATTAATCTTTTTAATATTTGAAATATTTTATAAATTATTTGATTATAGGGCGGTAAAGAGCATGGCGTTCCCATAATCATATCTCAGATACATCCCGACACACCCGCTGCACGTTCGGGTGCTTTATATATAGGCGACGCTATACTTAGCGTTAATTCAATTGATTTAAGACAAGCCAAACACATGGAAGCGGCACATATACTCTCGAATCAGGTTTGCATCTAAATTACAAATTATTTATTTTTTAATATTTTGATTTATTGCTGCAGTAAACTGTATTCTGAATTTATATATATAATTACATTTTATATTATCAATAATATATTATATAAAGTAAACTACTTTTATAAGAATCTCAAACAAAATAACAGAATTACTAACAGAATTTGTCGTTTATTTTTTATCTTATTGTTTAATAATATTCAGTACTTAAATAACAGTATACAATAAACTATACACTCTTATAATAATATAATATTTATTTTTATATCTCATTACCTGAACTGTAGTACTGTATTATTACATATATTTAGTATGATTTTAAAAATTTCAATAATATTTTATATTATTATTCACATAAGTTTTGTATTAATTAATGACTGATTTAAATTAATGAATATTTAATAATAATTGTAGTGAATTTCATTACAGATGGGTAAATGTTTACTAGAAGTTGTATTTGTGTCACCCGATGAACCAACAGATGATGACGAATCAGTCACTGGTTATGCTGATGATGAGCACAGACGTGATATTACCGGTTTGGGTATTAATGCCGGTAATTATCCATTCTTTGAGCCGCAAGTGATTGACGCCAATGACATACAGTGTAATGATTGTTATAATATTCATGCAAATAATGAGACGGAATCCCTGGATGATAGTGTCAGTCAAGTGAATGAGACCAATGTCTCAGTTGTCTCATCGCCAACCAAACGATACCCTGGAGTCGCAAAATTGTCTTCAATCTCAAGAACCAACGATATCATCATTAGTAGTAATGACAAAAAAACAGTTAATGAAAATTTAAGTCAATCTAATGATAGTTTGGCTACCAATCAAAAGAAAGAAACTTTTATCCAATGATACGTTTTTTATAAAGTCATAAATTATCTTTAAAACATGTGTTATTTTATTTATTGCCTTTTTTACAAACAGTTTAAATGACATATTAAATAATATATCATTTTTTCTAATCATTTTATGTATTTATCAAATATTATTTTCATGTTATGAACAAATATTCCAATATCTATGAAACAAAAATTTAATATATTTTTTTGTACATTTTACTGTTATTAATAATAAAAGTATTAATATTCTTATGAATAATGAAAAATAAAATCAATACATTTTCTATTATTTTATTTTTATTAGTTTTGTAAGTATAGTTTATGGTAAAATTAATCAAATCTTAAATATATTTTATGGTAATTACTATTTGTTTATATCAAAATATATATTTTAATTAATTTAATTGATTTTTTTATGTTTAGGTTTATTGAATTTTTAGGAGAATAAAAAATCTTTTAAAAATACAACAAAAATCTAACAATTTAAAAAATTAATAAATTCAGAGTAAAAAGTATTTAAATATTAAATTCAAAAAGTGCATAATATTTTAATTATTTTAATATATAAAAGAATATATATTTTATTTTACTGTAATTTATTTACAATTTATTTGATTAGTATTTACATATTTTTAATTATTATTATAATAATTAGAAAATTCTAAAATTTATTTTGATAATTATTAAATTTTACTTAACTTTTACATAGCTAAATTGATTTAATTAATCAAAAAATGGATTGTATTATAGATTTTAATAATTAAAGAATAATTTATTTATTTAAGTTGAAATCAACTCTATCTTAAATATATTTATTTACTTTAGGAAATATCTTTAAAATAATATAGTTTTGTGTGACAACAGTTGTGTTGTTTGAAACAATAATTTACTCGAAGATAATAAATATCATTCATTACATGGATGTCGTGTACCGGTGTTAAGCACATTGTGTGACATAAGCAGTAGGTCTGAGCTGAGACTTGTATTAAACATAAAGTTAGTGCTATCAGTGTTGTTGTCGCCTTTAAATGAATTATAAATGACTTATTTGTCACAAATGCAATCCTTATTAAATTACAGACATTTACACCAATGCTTGACATTTTGACCCCCATTTGATCCAACAAATTGTGAATAAAGTCAAACAATTTTATTCATTGAGATAGCCATTTGAACAATACAGTATAATAATAATAATAAATTATTATTATTATTATTAAAATTTTTACGACATTTTCTTATATAAGTCTTTATTCAGCAAATGCTTCGCTTATTTTATTGTTTTGTCAAATGAGATATAATATCATTGAATAGGATTAGTGTAACAATAATGTCATTACCGATGCAAAGCATTGTATGCAAAATGAATGCTATAATTCGGGTGGAGATCACAGTCCTATCACTTATTGAGATGAATGGCATTTGGCATACCGTAACCTAACATCTCATTATACGTGCAGTGATTTTAATACAATACAATATACCGTTTATATTATMCATTATTATATCAAATAACACTTAATTATATTCTTGCAATCAATTCTTCAATTAGACAATAACTTTACTGTAACTTATATTACCGCCCAATCGTTATACTCTCGTTATTCGCCATAAATCATCTCTAAATGTTTGTCTCCCAAATGACTGTAATATGAATGTAATGCATATAAAATTCATATATTATTTATTTAATATTTTATGTAACTTTTTTGCATAAGTCATGAATATTATATCACGATTAACATCTCACTCCACTCTTATCTCTCGATAAAGTAGTAGTTTTGTATTGAATTATATTGATAGTGACATAATTATGGCACAACTGTCCTCATCAGTGATTATTTTATTAATTGAATCAATTTTGTTAATTGTTATCATAAATATGAGTTGTTACGCTTATTCAAAACGTATGTATTAATTAATTTTATTTATTTATTATTATTTAATTATTAGTTTTAATAATTATTATTAAAGAAATTCCCATATTTATGGTTAAATACAATAATGACCAAGGTGATACAACTACATTAAAATCAAACTGTAAGTAATGCTAAATGTAGAAATAGAAAAACCTTTTTAATTTTGTTGTTATGCTATATAAATATTTATATAAATAAAATTATAATGTAATTTAAACGCATAAAAATTAATGAAATACAATATAGAGATCAATAATTTTATTAATATTTTTAATTATAGACCTAAACTATGAGCAAATACCGACTCCATTAATGGTGGCACAGCCAACCCAACCCATGTCTAGCTATTTATACAATAAAAATATTTAATTATTTTTATAAATATTTAAATAAATATGTCAGTCTAATTGTTTTGGACAATAAATATTTAAGTATTGAATAAATATCTAATTTTACTATATTATTAATAAAAATGCTTTAAAAATAGTAAAATAAATTTTATTGTATTTAAAATATCTAATATTATTATTTAAAAGATTGTCCACAATATGATATTGAATTATATGATATGATATATAAGAGCAGAGTTCACGTAAATAGCTTTCATGTCTATCTCAACGGATACTTGAGTGCATCTTCTTTTCAGTTCAACATATAAAGAGATCTGTTATGTTAAGCATCGATAGCATCAATGGTTTCCCAATTGGGTTACATTGAGAATATCGAATAAGTGGAGAGAGAGAGAGAGAGAGAGAGAGAGAGAGAGAGAGAGAGAGAGAGAGAGAGCATAGAAATAAGTATCAGAAAAAACTAGTAAGACATAAGACACTCTCATACTAACAAATCCCAAGAGTGACATCCATTCTCATTATGGATACCATTGCACTGAATACCAGTGTTTCATTTTGYCATTTGTTTTCTGTACTTATATATGTATTCACTCCATACAATTCCCATTCCTACTCTCTCTCTCTCTCTCTCTCTCTCTCTCTCTCTCTCTCTCTCTCTCTTTCTCTACACTATATGTTTGTGTGTATATCTCAACTTGCAATACATGATCAACTCATACAGTAGTATTGAATCTCTCTTATAATAATTTTGTTCACGTATTTGCAATCCATTATCGGTACGCCAAATGCGGCCGCAATAGCATTGAATGCGAACTTAAAACAAATGTCTCTTATTTTATATATGTTTATCACAATATATTACTAATAACTTATTATATTATACACTCTTTGCTTTACTCTATAATACAAAATTCTTATTATCGTTGATTACAAAAAAAATATTAAGGAATGGTTTAAAGTATTACAATACTTGTTAAATGTTAAAACTTTATTAATGATAAAACTAATTAATGCAGATTATAAATATATTTAAGTGTCTTAATATGATATAAAATTATTAATATATTTTTATAAATGACTCATTTTTAAGAAATATAGTATAGAAAGAAATAGCTCTTTGAAAAAATTGTCATTTTTAGTGTATTTTAAATGCACTCTCAAACCACTTAGATTTTAAGTATGCACTATATTCGCTACTTTTTAATTATTAATTTAGCAATTATTAGTTTATCAATATTAATCTGTTCATGAATTTGAGGTCTATTGCAGTTAAAATAATTTTTCCATCTTTATGTATGCATATGTATGTATACTATATATCGCTCATAAAAAGTAAATAAATATTTAATAATCTTTTTTACGATACAAACTCTCAATTGAATACTTAATTGAATAATACATATATATATAATATATATATGTTGTCATCAATAGATTTTTAGTAAAATTTCTTTATTGCTATGATTTAAGTATCGAAACGATATATACAGTATATTGTGTACAATATATATATAAAATTAGAGAATAATGAAAAAGTAGAGAAATATCTCTAAGTCCTTCTTAGAGTTGAAGTTGAATACGATTTTTGTGATTATATTTTGTCAGTAAATCTGGTTCAGAGTTAGAGTGAGAAGACTAAAGAAGAGAGAGAGAGAGAGAGAGAGAGAGAGAGAGAGAGAGAGAGAGAGAGAGARAGAGAGAATGGTATTGACCATTGAAATCTCCCAAAGAATAAACTAAAGGCTCAAATGTATCAATACTTTCTTTGGGTTTTTTGTTATATAAATCCTTAGAGAGTAGCGGAATATATGAGTCTAACCGTAAGGTTTGTGTCCATCCCTATCAATGGTTACCTAAATTTGTGTTTCCAAATGCTATTCACATCCAATATATGCATCTCATGCTCGCAATCATCCTTTAAGATGACTTTACTTTTCAAATCACTTCCAGTCACTTCTTTTATCTATTTTCTTATATTTCTATTTCTTTATTTTTTATTCATTCACTTGCTTTTACTTTCATATATAACATTGAGATCGCAATAAATGTAAAGTTAATTTTATATCATATGTCTTTGAATAATGGTATTTCATGTACTTTTTATATGCTAAACTTATATTATATAAATTAGTTATTGTAGTAAATTATATTATAACTAATTGTATTTGTAATTTAAAAAAGATAGTTTTGCAACTATTTTGTATTTTACAACAAATACTTATTATTTTTAAGTAAAACATTTTTATAAAATATAATAATAAATGAAAAAGTAATAAGCTTAATATCCAATATATCTCATTTTATATAATACCGCATTACAAGCATAGACACACTTACACATTCAGTCACACACACACACACACACACACACACACACACACACACACACATATATATATATATATATATATATATATATATATATATATATATATATATATATATAGTATATACCTGACATTTGAGTATTACAATAGCGGCTTAAATAAAGACAGTATAAAATAAATGAATTGTCAATTTGTAAATCTGTGGACAAACTTTGACAATTGACACCTTTTATTTTTACCTAAATTTATTGATTAGGATTCTCTAAAATATATATGGACTAAATGTATTTAAATATAAATAAATATTAGTTAATACTTAAAATATTTTATATTTGGTTTAATTTATATAATTAACAGTTTTTTAGATATTATTAAAAATTGGTATATTATATTTAATTTAGTTTTAAAACATTTTAAAATACTATACAAAATTACAAATAAAATACCATAATTWTGATTTTTAATAAATTTATAACTATTATTCTAATATACAGTATTTAAAATATCAATTAAATAATTATACTATTTTACAGCAAATAAAATTATATTTCATATTTAAATGTTGGCTATATGTGATAAAAATACTTTATGAAAATTATAATTACTATACTTTATTAATTTATTAAAATAAATAATTGGATATTATTATTTAAGCAAAAAAATCTTTTAACCAATTGAATATTTAATTAATAAAATATATTTAACTAATTATTAAATATTAAGTTTTAATATTTATAAAGAATTTGTAAAATAAAATAAAAATTACAAATATTTTAATAACAATATTATAGCAATTTTATAGTAACAATTGATTTCTTTGAACATAAATTATTGGTTATTGATAAAACATATTTGTTTTATTTTATCAAATATACAATTATAGCGATCAAAATGTATAATATTAATACAATAAATTAATTGTATAGACAGTTATCATTAGAACACACACACATGTATGCAATACATATACACACTGTGTATACTGTACTGTACATACAGAGCACCAGTATGTTAAATGATGCATTTAGTAATGTGTATGTTGGACCAGTTAGGCCACATTTGTGTTATGTAATCATATGATTGATGACACATTGATTTGAGACCAGCAGAGGGTGTAAGCGCTGGTGTGATCTGGTATTGAGGTGATTGTGAGTGATAGAGAAGTGGTTCCCAACGCCGTCACCGCATTGGCTGTTGCTTTAGACTGTTGTTGAATGAGTGTCGATGTGTTGTATGTGTGGAGTAAGTGCTGTGAAACTGGTGCCCAACCAATGCTCACACATTGCTGTGTCTGTGCTGTCGGTGTGATGTCTGGCTGTCTCTCGCACTCTCTCTCTCTCCCGGAGTCATAGAGTCAGTCAGTCATACAGATTGTTGTATGACTTTTCATATATACATTAGAATCAATGCTTGTGTTTAAGCTATAAATGTGTTGAAACCGACTAAATGTGCTTAAAGTGCTCAATACATACATATATAAGTTAAAAGCAAAAGTGTTTTATTGCTTACAAAACTATTTATTATACACTTTATATTTGTTTGAATATTCAAAAACAAAACGACATCAAAATTAGTGAGAAATTGTTTAAAGAAATTTTGAGAACTAACCAAATGATGGACTATTTGTAAACCACTTTTTTAACACTCGTTTTGTGATTATATTGTTTGCGACAAAATTGCCAAAAAATATGACAGACTTTTTGTTTCCCGGAGAGCGTCTCCTAAATGAAGTAATGAATGAACACCCGGGAGAGTTGACCCGAACCGGCAGTCCTAACATAATATGTTCATCACTACCGTCCCATTGGAGGTCTAATAAGACTTTACCGATGGCCTTCAAAGTGGTGGCGCTATCCGAAGCACCCGACGGTACGATAGTGTCAATACGTGCGGGCAATGATGAGAACTGGTGTGGGGAACTCAGAAATGCTTCGGCTATCATGAAGAATCAGGTGGCAAAGTTCAATGACCTTAGATTTGTCGGCAGATCCGGCAGAGGTATGTCCATCACAAACACTTCACAAAGACATTATATCATTGATTTCATATATCTTTATTAAACTTATTTTTAGTTTCAATTTTTATTAATTTACAGCATTACAATGTAATGCATTTATTTTATTGAATAAATCATAAATAATTGTTATAAGTTAGTCAATATTGATTGCAAATTGATTTGACTATATTAGTAATACCGGTACTGTACTTAAGTATATATATAACAATCTTTTGATTGTTACACAAAATACTATATATTATTATATTATTCCTTAAGCTATAATAAGTTCTACTAAAACTAATAATTTTGTCTATTAAAGTGTCCATTAGAAGTCAATAATTTATTAATATTACAAAATTATATGTATTAAAGATATGAAAGTAAATATATACAGTATATTATATAATTAGTTATTTAAAAAATTTATAATACATTTTATATATTATTTATCAGTGCTACTTTCATAGCATAATAAGATAAAACATTTTCAAAGACATAAAATTTAAATAAAAAGTAAATAAAAAATGATAAAAAGTGAAATGTTCTCTCTCTSTCTCTCTCTCTCTCTCTCTCTCTCTCTCTCTCTCTCTCTCACACACACACACACACACACACACACAATAATTAGACGGACAGTCATTTAAAAGATCAGTGTGTGTGACGATGGGTTGCGATAAAAAATATGTTTGAAAATTGTTGAGAAAAGAAAGCCAGACCTGAGTCATAGTTATACCAATTAAAAGCTAAGATTTAGTGAAGCGTTACGGCTCAAGGAGTCTCTTAAAATACACGTTCCGGTGCTAGTAATTGGCTCTTTGGTTAGTCTATGGTTGGTATGGTTTAGTGGATGGGAATCATTCGCATATAAGCCTTAATAAACCTTAATAGCAGTACTATTTAGTTGATGTAATGCTTACCAAATGAAATGACTATATATATTCTTGCGGCTAAATCGTGATCGATATATATATATATATATATATATTCTTTACAATATATACATTCATTTAATATAATCAAACATTATATGCCCGTTGGTTTAACACGACTGTCCAATTTATTAGGTTTCACTAACCATTTTTAAGCCGCAACCATTTGTTAACCACATTTGCCATTATTATCAAGTATTGATAAATTTATAAATAAAACAAAGAAATTTTTGCATATTTAAAAATTGTTTATAAAATAATTATGATTTATTTAAAAATATAGTATATCATACTGTATTTTCACATAAATAAATTTTTTATTATTATTTAGTACTATATTTTATAACATGTGTGCGATAAGTGATATCATAAAAATAATTATTACATTTATTTGTAATGCAGGCAAAAGTTTTTCGTTGACCATAACGTTGAGCACAAATCCGCCACAAATAGCCTCATATGGGAAAGCAATTAAAGTGACAGTCGATGGTCCCCGAGAGCCCAGAAGCAAACTTAGTAATTATTGACTTTTAACACTTTTATGCAAATGTTTATTATAATATACATATTATAACTTATGTTTATTGGCGTGCAATTGCACTAACAGACCATCCGCAACATTTAGGTGCTTTTGCCACTGCATTTGGTCATTACAGACACCCATTGTTTGACTCCCGAGCCTGTCCTTTGCCGGCAATATCCACCAATGAGTGGCGATTGGCGGCGCACGCGGCCGCCGCTTATATGGCCAGATTGCCTGCCGCTGGTCAAGGTTTGTATTAATATAATTTGGTTAATAACATATAATTAAAAGTTATATTTATATATAGATATAGCAACAGGACTTCAGTTATCAACTACCAGTGCAACAACTGATACATGGAATACCTGTTCAGCTCTGAATACGCCATATTCTGCAGCCTATTATATGACGAGATTATCAAATTTTGTTGACTTTCATCAAAACCAATTGATTGACAGCAATACAAGCGTATATAACCACAACTCAAACCCGCATCTAATGGATGGTAGTGTTCCTGAAGTCCGACCAATTGCTTGTCCAACAAATCATTTAACAAACGAAAGTAACAATACGTTAGCCATAAATAGTAGCCAAATATCATTGCTTAGGCCGAGATGTGATGTCAGTCCTCAAATGTCCAGTGCTTCAGAACTAAGCAAACAACTATCAAAATCAGGTAAACATTACTTCTAATTCTATAATTTATTTTAAATAATTTATAAAAATGATGAAAACCAGTGAATATGTGATAGTGATTGCAATCACTCTGTGCTATAGATTCCGAGTCGAGTCTGTCCTCATTCACATCACCCATATATCAGAACTCAGGCACTGGTAGTTCGGCCACATTTAACTCACCAAATAATTATTCATTGCTCAACCATAACTATTACGGCTCGACCTGTGGCGGCCCATCAGGACAGTCACAATCGCTGTCACTGTCATCCTTACCCCCTCTATCAAGTCTAACCACTGGGAACACCGCTAATATGACGCCTTCCTTATTATATCCATCTCTTAACTCAACGAACTCTAGTTTACAGCAACCGATTTCTAACAGAATTTGGAGACCATATTAATTAATATTGAAATTGTATAAATAATAGCATATTATTATCATTATTAGTATTATAATTAAAATTAAAATAGTAAGGTTACTCAGGGTTTGCCAGATAGAGCCCAACCTCACACTTATTTGATGACAAAATTTTAGCTTATCTTACATTTAACATATAATATGTATAAAACTTTTTWAAAAAATTAAAACTTAAAACTCTTAGCGATCCTGATATTATATTTTATAACAATAACGATCAATATTTAAATATTATTTAATTATAGTATTGAGGCCATTAACAAACATTATTGCTAAAGTTTTGTTATCATTAAAACATAATTATTAAAAAATGTACAAATGTTTATATCAAGTATATTTCTATAAAGTGATTATTAAATAAATAGCTTTTTTAATATAATATTTTTAAAATATTTGTAAATATATAATTAAATTAAAACTTTAAAATATAATTGAAGATTTTAAGCAAAAATCATTTAATATTATTTATTTTACTTGTCTATTTTTTATTAATTTCAAAAAGTTTTTAAAAAGCAAACATATTAAATGTTATATTTAATGATGTGAAATATAAAAAATGAAAAAGTGCTAAACAAATAGCGATTAGTAACCGTTTGAAGTTATAATTTTGCTTAACATTGGTCTCATTTTATGCTTTAAGATAAACAACAATTTCACAACAAAATCATTTCACTTGTTTGAATACTTACTACCAGTGCTTACTTTATTTGTTTGTATGCAACACACAAATTGATGCAACCAACCAACCGACTTGACATGAGTTGAAAAAAATATATTTATTATAATGCACCAGATTTTAAAAATTGTACACTTGTTTCATATTATAATAAGATCCATCTTTAAGCAATGTTTTCTTATTTTTTTCAAAATAATGATTTACTTTATTTTTTATACAGTATATAAAAACAATAGCATTCAAATATACAGTACTCTATCCTATTGTTGTCAAACTTTATCCTCTTATTTTGCTTTCAAAATAATCTTAATAAATATATAAATATCTCTTTGCTGTAATTATCATAGTTGCCAAGTTATTTATAGGTAAAATAATATTGTTATGTTTTAAATAAACTAAAAGATTTACATTTTTACAAATTTTCAGCTGTTTATGTAAAAATATAATATATTGAATACAATATTTCTATTTTTATAATAGTAGTAAAGGCTTCAAAAAACAATGCATAAAATTGTTGTCTTAGTGTTTGCCGTCAAATACAGTATATATTTTAAACTTTATGGTCTAATAGTAATAATAATAATATTTAACAATAATAGCACTTTTTGTTAAATATTTTATGGATAGTTGTTTCGCCCGATGGATGACTTAATGGACAAAGAAAAATATATATCGGATATACTATATTAATGAATGCAAAGAGCGGACATACAAAACATACAAAACTTGATTTATATCTTTGCGTTTGTTAGCAAATCATATGAAATCTCGCTATAAAAGAGAGGTCTAATAACTCCTGAACCCAGTTATCAGTTATTATTAATAGCAAAATGATATATCAATGTACATGTCATGGAGTAAAAGGCATTATATATGTTGGACTGAGAATGGGATAAATGAATGAAAATAATTTTTATTCAATAATAGGAAAAAATGTGAGCCATTGAGGGATTTGGCACTGGGATTGAAGCTGTATTAGGGCTGCTTTTGAACTATAGACAGTCCTATCCCTCAATATTTGTGTGCGAAATGTGAAAAACATTTACAATACCATTTGGAAAGGTCTACCAGTGATAACATATAAAGCACTGTTGGCCTCACTTTTCAAATATATGGCACAACACTATTTTGGTCTCTCTTTTATGTCGATCTCCCCTCTCATTCAATGATATATCTGGTAATATATATTGTGTTTAATTCTTTGGCAATTCAAGCGTACGGGTCGTTGTAGGCTATAATCAGAGGCACACCATATTCACCAAAAACTCACCAAACTATGGCTTGTTATGTGTGTTTGCAATGTTAGCAAATCTATAGTAATGTACTGTATATACTCAATGGTTTATATTTGATTGTTACTAACACTGCCATTGAATACTGTTTTTAAAACGCTATATATTTTCATACAACACTCTACTCTACTATTAAATCGTATATGTATTGAGTGAAACCCATAAAAATTGACGATCACTTGATAACAACTATATATTATTTTTCATTGTTTTTTTTWAAAAAAATACTATATATTTATTATAAAAATTTTATATAGTTTATTAAATTATATTATTTTTTTAAAGAAAAGTATTTTCAGGTCCAGTCAAAAACTATAAATATAATTTTAAATATTATTATCAAAATATATGGTATTGCATATAGTATACTAGTAATGTAGTAACAAAATATTAGACTCTTTTCAATAACAACACTGAAACTGTTAATATAAAAATCCATTTGTAAAATAATGATATCCCTTAACATATATTACATTAGAACATACATTATATGTTATTTTTATTTACTGATCGCTCCGAGAGTTTGATCTCATAACAACATATATATATATATATAAATAATATACTATACAAGTGCTACTGGAAAATAAGGGAGTGTTACTATTAAGTTATATGATATCACCAGTCATACTTACCAATTTACTAGTTATAAATACTATAATTAATGTCTATTGTTTATATATATAATAATATTATATATAGATAGATATATTTGGGTAATAAAAATATGAGCTTGGTTACATCACTAACACTAACATAGTATTAAATATTTCATTAGATACTTGTTTTATGCTAAATACATAAATAATTCAAAAAATAAAATTAATGATAAATTATCAAAAATGTTGTTTTTGTTTAGTTTATCTCAGTTTCTTATCAATAATAAAAAATAAATTATAATTATCGATCACTTAATACACTCTTAAATACTACATTACTATATATTTATTATTAAAAATTACTTAGGCTTTTCAATGATATTTAAAAATACTTATTTGTAAAAATTATTATAATAAAAATAGTGTAGATATATCAATTGTTTTTGAATCAGTTACAATTAAATTATAAAATTTATTATAATCATTATATTATAAAAATTAGTGTAAAATATTGATTATATTTAAAATTTATAACAAATAACTACAAACTAATTGCTATACAGTATATACAGTATTTATTAATGATATGTTGAAAAACAAAATAAGTGGATAAAGTTTCGTTACAATGAAATGATATTTATGACGATATTGTGGAAAAATTTTTAATAATAACAAAACATTGTTTGATATTTCTTAAACTTTCTATTAAATTTTAAATAAAATATTAAGTATAAATATATATATTGTCGACCAGTTGACTTCAATTTTGTCAGTTATATACTATAGTCATTTAAAACAACATATAATATCAACTATAAATAAGATTAATTAATATAATATTAAGTTGTTTTTATAATAAATTTAGTACTGTTTGATTTATAATTGAAAAACAATTTTAATATTATCTATTTTAAAATTAATAGTATATTGTAAATAATTATTAAAATTATTTTGTTATATATTTTTATAAATCAATTCAACATAAACTTGAAACATTTTCAAAGGGGTTTTATTTTTTACTAAATTATATGTTCAAAACTTAGAAACAATAACAATTAAAACTCAGAGAGAGAGAGAGAGAGAGAGAGAGAGAGAGAGAGAGAGAGAGAGAGAGAGAGAGACTACAGCCATAGGTATAACAGGTGCCGCACCTATTGTTTTTGGGCCAAAAATACATTTTTGAAATTTTTGTCAAAAAATCTAAAATTTCTAACAAGTAAAGTATAAAAAACAAGAAAAAATTTCAAAAAAGTAATTTTCTAATAAAATTAGGTTTACTCTTATTTTTAACCAACAGTGCGACCAATCTATAAGCACAAGTAATGTCACGCCTCTACTGTAATAAAGTATCAAAAAAAAGTTTTTTTAAAACTTTTAATTACAGGTTGTGTTAGTATTTAATCTTTAGATAACGTCATGCATACCATAGTATTATAAGTAGTGCTGAGCTTTTTTGTAAATGATGTAGTTTTTAACACAATATGTTTAATATATATTATTAATATATAAGCGATAGAATGGGTGAAAATTGAACTCTCGGTGAGCTCTCTCTCTCTCTCTTCTCTCTCTCTCTCTCTTCTCTCTCTCTTGATATAAACACAGGACTTAGTTTTCAAAGCATATTATTAAAGGCAAAACTAAAACTCCAAAAGCTATTCATTTAAAGGCATTATAGTATTGGACTGTTTGTAAAATACATTAACATCTCTTTTGTTAAGAAGTTGTCAATGAATGATATATTATTGGAGGAAAAACATCAAACGCTTTAATTATCAATGAATAGGACAGAACCCACTCATCGTTGCCTATCCTATCCCATAATATATAATATGTTGTTTGCATAGCTATTATTAATATTTTATAATTATTATTGTTTTCTTATCCGTCTAGAAATATTTATATTAATTTTTAAACTATCATTATTTGAAAATACTTAAAACTTTGTTAATTAAGTACCGTAAACACACATACAMATACACATACACATACACATACACATACACATACACATACACATACACATACACATACACATACACATACACATACACATACACATACACATACACATACACATACACATACACATACACATACACATACACAAATTATTTACAATTTTATATATTTATTTAAAAATTAAAAATATAAAACAATTTATAAGAACTAAAATGATAAAATAATTAAATATTTTCCGCTGAATTTTTGTTATTAATAAAACAAATAAAAATTTAAAGCATAAGTGTCAATAAAACAGAATTTGTATAAATTTTCAACATTTTTATATATTTTGATAATTTTAACTTTGATAAAGTAAAAGAACATCATATCCACGGAGTAGTAGGGAATGGTATGCATTGATAGGGATGCTGTTTCAAGTGGTAATGCCTCAACTCATAGCACTTGGAGCGTCAATACATCTGCTGCACGTTTGGTGAGTCCTTAAAATTCAATACAATATTA